TTATTCACTCTATTATTCACTCTGTTATTAACTCTGTTATTCACTCTATTATTCACTCTGTAATTAACTCTATTATTCACTCTATTATTCACTCTGTTATTAACTCTATTATTTACTCTGTTATTAACTCTATTATTAACTCTATTATTCACTCTATTATTCACTCTGTTATTAACTCTATTATTCACTCTATTATTCACTCTGTTATTCACTCTATCATTCACTCTATTATTCACTCTGTTATTAACTCTATTATTAACTCTATTATTCACTCTATTATTCACTCTGTTATTAACTCTGTTATTCACTCTGTTATTCACTCTATTATTCACTCTATTATTCACTCTGTTATTCACTCTATTATTCACTCTGTTATTAACTCTATTATTCACTCTATTATTCACTCTATTATTCACTCTGTTATTAACTCTATTAATAACTCTATTATTCACTCTATCATTCACTCTGTTATTAACTCTATTATCCGACCGATGGTGACTGAATTGTGCTCGTGGTACCTGCAGGAAGCCGTCCAGCTGCTGCAGCAGCTGCGTGTCTTTCTGGACGCTCTCCTCCACTGAGCGTGTGCGAGACGTCAGCGCCTGAAGTTCAGCGTCCAGAGTCTCCAAAGAGATCCTTCCAGAAACACGTTCAACGTCTCAGTTTAATTTATTATTAATCTCCATGGAGCTAAAGAGAGACGGGACGCAGCTGGGCTTCAGCTGAAGAGTGAGCGTCTTACCTGGACGCAGTTTGGACGCCGCTCAGCCGGACAGGAAACTCCAGCAGCTTCTCGTCTTTCTTCTGAGCCTCCTGAAGGAATAAATTCAGTTTGTCATAAAAAAAAACAAAACAGAAAGAGACAAAGTGTCCTCTAGTTGAACTCAGGCGTGGAGGTTTTAAACACTCGTTTATCAAACTACCGGGTGACTAAACTACCAGCAGACACAAAACTACAGCAAAGAACTGGAAGAGGAGCTTAAAGAGAGAAGAACACACAGGATGAAGAGAACATCTCTGCAGGAGTGGAGTCACTGACCAGAGCCACAAAGTGCAGAAGGTTCATGCCCGGCCTGTTGGACTTGGTGTCCGCCAGAGACAGGAGGGAGGACAACTTGAAGCCTGCGGCGTTTCCTGCAGAACCTCCCTGTGAAGAGCAGAACGCAGCAGGTCAACACAGGCCTGCTCTGTGCAGGAAGCAGGTTCTCTGGGTGGAGGACCATGTTTATATTCCACCTGTAGTGGTCCAGACCCACTCAGATCAGCTGATGAGGACACTCTTAAGACAACATATGTTGGACATACATCAGTTAGACATCACGGCTATGACAGCTCTAAGCGTGCACATTGATTATTCATGATTGACATGAGTTACTGTCATCCAGGTTCTGCTCAGAGATCCTAACTGGATCCTAACTCTTCAGAAGGATTGAAAACAGTGACGAGAACATCAGGTCTGATTTCAGGTGTATGGAGGTCACAGCTTTACAGTATTTGTTCGTCTTTAGCTTTATGATTTTCTCTGTAATTAACCCAAGCTCACTGATGGAGGACTTTAAGGCTTTGTCTCTGTGTCTGATTTAAGGTCAAGAAGATTGTGTCCCACCTCTTTCAACAAAACACCACCGACCTTATTACTGTGGAGACACTGATACACCTCTGCGCTTCTCAGGTTGTTCATCGCTTCACCGTCAGAAGAACTGAGTCAGTGAAGGAGCTAAATATGACAGTAGATATATCTAAATATGCTAGTAGATGTAGCTAAATATGCTAGTAGACGTAGCTAAATATGCTAGTAGAAATAGCTAAATATGCTAGTAGATGTAGCTAAATATGCTAGTAGATGTAGCTAAAT